ACACACTCACAACACACACTTCATGGCTTGCCCCCCACACTCACACCCTACACTCACTTCATGCTCGCATCCCACACTCACACCCTACACTCACTCCACACTTGCACCTCACGCTCGCAACCCACACACCTCATACCATCCCACATGCACACACCACTCTACATACTACAATCTGTACACACACCACATCTCTCCACACCTCAATATACACACCACATCTCATCGTAGCTCACTACACACACCACTACACCACAGCTAACCACACCACATGAGACACATACCTCATCACACACACACTACACACCACAACACACACTTACTACACCACACAGATCACAACACACATACATCATGTGTATCACACACACATACACCATGTACAGGGAATGAAAAAGCAAGATTCTGGCTATTTAATGTTTCACAATAGTAATTGCATTACTGTCTCTTGTTTTTACTTGAACAAGCTCTTCATGTTTTACCCCCATAATTCCTATCCTTCTTGCCCTTGTTTACTGTATGTAGTTGAATTAAGAGTGAAAGGTACCTCTGAGTAAGGTTGGCAATATTTAAAAACTAAAGTTTTGCTTCCATGTATTAGAAAGCTATTTACATAAGCAAGTGATTTAGTTTTATTTTATAGTATTTTTGGACATTAACTAACTCTTAACTCTCTACCTTGCTTGTCTTGTTCAATACTGTATACTATATGTATTGACGTTGACAATTTGAATAACAAAGTGGAAGAAACATGTGAAAGAATATTCCATTTTTGTTGTTTTACTCATGTTTTTTAGGCAGTTGGTCAGTTCAGGAAGGCTCTGGGATTTTTGTGTTCTCTTAATTTTTATCTTTTGAAATAGTGAAGTCTTTGCCTTGCAGGTGCTTTTCGCTGCCTTGTAGAAGGAGGAGGCCAAGTAGCATTTGTCAAACACACCACTGTCATGGAGTCAACAGGTGGCAAGCGTCGTGAATGGTGGGCACGCAACACACTTAATGATGACTTTGAACTACTTTGTCCTGATGGTGAGTGTATTAATGTTGTTCAAAGGTTCTATGCGTAATTATGAGTGAGACATTGAAAAAAAAACATTTTTTTAATGTTAAATTTGATATCTTTGTGATAGTTACTCTACTCTTTGTGATAGATATTCTTCTCGAGTTCTTTTGAAGCGTTTATCTTTTTAATACTATGGAGTTGCTCCATTTTCAGGAACCCGCCGTACAATTCATGAATTTAAGTCATGCAATATGGGAAAGGCAAAGGCCAATGCCATTGTTACTAGAGGAGGAGATGGTTACAATGAAACTGAGATCAGTGCTTTTATTAATTTATTCATCTATGCTCAACAGTTTTATGGAAGGACAGATCAAGATGACTTCAGGTTGGTTTAATTTTTTTTTCTCATCTTTTGAAGAGATAGTTTACCTGTCAATTCTGTTATTTTTTGTTTGTAATAAAATTCTACAAAAACCAAATGATTTATGATCCATTACACAATATTTATTGGAATATCAGAGAAATCCCAATTTTGAATGGGCTTTCTGAGAATGTTTCTTGTTTTTAACTATTTTTAACTGTTAACAATCACAAACAGGCTTCATTGACTAGAAAATTATTTTTTGATGAAAAATTTAGGTCTTGCCTAAGTTATCATTCTTCTTATTCTTTTCCCTTTTCATCTTTTTCGTATTCTTCTTCTACTTCTTCACCCTCATTATTGTTACAATTGATTTTACTTATATGATTGTTTTCAACAGCAGATTTGAGCCATCCAGTGTAGTGGATATAGTGCTCTTTCACAGTAGTTTCACTCAAGATGCTTTCCTAAGTTGTAGAAGTCCATTCTTTGAGCACGGTTGCTAAAGGCTTCTTTACTTTCTCTCCCAGAGTCAAGACAGGGTTTTCTTAAAGAAGCCAGTCATTCTGAAATCGTCACAGATGATTCTTAAAGGGTTGTTTACAAGAACATCCATTACTTGTTGTTCAGATGTCATCCCTCCAAGAAGTATTGTATTATATATTAGAATGAGGTTTTTTCCTAAATATCTCAGTAGAATAATATGAGGTCATATATTAGTAGATTATGCCTAGTCATTGGGAATCTGTTTTAACATTGCCTTTTCATGTCAGGTCCCTCGAATGCTGATATAACAGTAAGCTGCAAAAAAGATAAATACAATGTACATGTACAATACCTAATTCAGTTATATTTGTGGATGTATTCTTGGCTCCCAAGAATTCTGTTCTTTTCTGTGCTTTTCAGACTAATACTGTATATACTCAAATAATCTTCACCCTTAAATACTACCTGCACCATAATTTTATGGTAAGGAATCTGGAAAAAAAATAAACTTGTTTCACTGTAATTGCCAAGAAAAATAGTTCTATTAATTTTTATTGTTGTCACACTATCCCGCACCTCCAGTAAAAAAAAAAAATTCAAGATTGTGTTTTTGACAGCAAATTAACATTAGTTTCTTCATGTCGCATTTTGTTCGTATGCCAATCTCAAATACACCTTTCATCCACAATGCTGTTACCAATTTGTTCTGCTTCTTCTATCACACATACTTTTGCTTTCATGGTGAAAGATCAAGCTTCATGCTCGCTAGTTTGTAGTACATAGTAATAGTTTGTATTACATGGAAGCAAACATTTCTGGTTACCAGATTTTGTCAAAAATGTTTGTTACTATCATATATTCTGAATTTAACTAATGTTTGTAAAGAAGTGGTGAGTTTCAGGGCTCAAGAAAAAATGCACGTATAATGCCAACCATGACTCGAATAATACTTGCATCCCAATTTTCAGCTACCAACTTTTGAAACAAATACTCAAGGATTATTGGAGTATATATGGTAGTTTTGAAGAGCCAGTAAAGAGGCAATCTTCAACAAAGGACATTGTAGTAAATAGAAAGCAGTGTAAATAAAAATAATGTGCAAATTGATGAGGTTACGAAGATTCTACTTTTGACACTTGACACATGCACTTCTAAATTTTATTAATTTATTTATTTCACTGGCAGTCACCCAATTAATATATAGTAAAAAAGTTACATTTTTTAACTTTTGAATCCAGTGTTACCAAAATGAAAATAAATAGATATAATGATGAGAGACAACTATGAATCATCTAAAGTCAGTTAGCAGATATTTTAAAACAGTTTAAAATAATTTCCTCTGAGACAAAAGGTATTTCATGTCTACTATTTTTACTAAAGATCAAAAAGAAAAGATATCTTTGATAGAAATACACATTCTACATTTAACCACAGACACAAAATGATTGTTTTAAATAATTCAGCAAAAAATTCCCTTGCTCTCTCCTGCTCCACCTGAGGTATGGAGATATACAAGTTCACAGTTCACAATTCGATTATGTGAATTCAATTGATGTAAATTTAAAGTTTGTGTTTGTTAAAGAATCAGAGATCATGAACTAGTACACCGTGGGAAGAAAATTGAATGGCACAGAAGGAAATCGTAGTTGAGCCAGATGAAAGAATGTAAATATAATGCCCAAAATTATAAGGTCTAAAAATTCAGAAGGACCTAGTATGGGAGGATGACCCTAAAGAAAGAAACAATGATACATTTGGAGATACTGGTAGCCTCAAAATTGATTATTTTATTGATGATTTTAAGGAACAAGAAAACATTGATAGCTCAGATAAAAAGATTTAACCTCCTCATCAACAAAACAATTTTTTAGTTAAGTGGACAATTTGTGGATTTTAGACCAGGAAGTTCAGGCATTTATTTTTCCTAAAATAGGCAATCAAAAAGGCATTGCTGATCTTAAGTGGTAAAAAGGCATGGGAACAGTGAAAAATCCACATAAAAAGAATTATTGTTTAAGTTTAAATATTGAAAATACTAGTCATTAAGAATGAAATTTGAACTTTCTAATGATCTAAATTTCATGATTTTTGTTTTTGATTGGAAGGTAGTGACCTAGGTGACCAATTGCTTTTTTAAACTTTAATAGTTACAACACTAAATTGTATTATTTTAAAATTAAAAGAATGAATGCTTATCTGCCATCATTTGCTCATTACGCCATTTTCAAAACTAACTACTACAATATAATACAAGAAAAATACTCTGAAATTCTTTTAAATTCAAATTAAAACTCTTTAGTGTGTTGGCCACATTGCTCTTGTGTCTAGTGCATTACAATGAAGTAACAGGTATGTTGTATATAGGCAGTTATTGTTTTGATGTGATAAGTGATGGATTTTAATTGTTAATGAAGTTTACATAAAAGACCTGTGTACCTTTGTTCCAAGAACGTATTTGTATCCTGATATGATATAATTGACTATGTGGCGTGATGTAATAAGAGATTCAGCTAGTTAATTATTAAAACAGTTTTATTTTATTTCGTAATTTATAGGCAATGGCCATTTTACAAATAAAAATATAAAATGTATACAAATTATTAAATTAATGTTTGTATTTTGCTTGCGATTTGAATACACAAGCAGTTCACAGACGACATCCATTTTTAGCATATTTTTTTGATTACACATATGAACAATTGGGGCATTTTGAGATAGATTAGATCTCGAAAATGGTAATCCAAATGAATTGGTGACCAAATTTTATATTACTCATATATATCACAAAGATTATTTTTCTGTTTCACTGCTAAAAATTGTTCTTAGTGGCACTTTAAATTTCAATGTGATGACTACAAATTTGTTCCACTCACGATGCTGATTCTATGAAATGGTAAGGTGGACTTCCCTTTGAATCCTGGAATCATGTATGTGAAAATACAATTACTGTTTTTGTTATTTTTCACTTGTGTAACAGCCACCACTGAGGAGGGCCACTTCATATATCATGTACAGGGTTCTGCCCTAAGGTTATTCTATCATTTTGTAGGTGAGTTGCCCTTGAAAGAATCCTTCACCAACATTTCTCTCCTCTTCTGCAAAGTTTTGTGTTGTATTCCTAACAACTTTCAAAAAATCTATGAAGTTGGTCATCTACCCTTTCTCTTGACATCTGAAAACAATTTCTATTGCCAGTTACTCTCTTGGCATTGGTTTCTTGTGAAGAATCACATACAGGAGCAGCTTTGTGCCGCCGGTCAGGGCACCCAGCATAGCTGGTGTATTTCATCCTTGCTGGTCTTTGGTTGTTCCCTGATTAGTCTGTTATAACATTATTGAAGAATGATCAAGAAATAATATTTCGTTTTATTAAGGGTGTATCCTTTGTTGATTCTTCCTGATTCACCAGCAATAATTTTTTTTTTCTTTTTTCCAGTTTTAGCATGTTTTATTCAAATCCACCATACAGTGACCTTATATTCCAAGATGCTACAAGGCGACTACATGTGATTGATCCTTCCCAACGAGAATACAGTCAATATTTGGGTCCTGATTTCATGAGAGCAAAACGTATTGTTGATTGTCATGCAGGCTCGAGTCCATTGTTAGCATCAGTATTCATCAGTATGTTGGTTGTAACTATCAATTTATTTTTTAGCAGAATCTCTTATCAAGTGTGACTTCCCGGCATTGTGTCAAATATAGGTGGAGAGATGTAAATATAAAGTTTAAGGAAGTAAATTTGTACTGGATTTTAGTGTTTTATAATTGAATACAAGATGTATTAATCATTCAGTAATAGTACTTGTGTGTTTCTGTTCAGATACTAAGAGTACTGAGGAGCTAATTTCAGGGATATTATGTGTGGATATGCATTTATTTTGTTCTTGTGTATTCTTCAGATGTTCATGGATCTGAAGAAATAGTGTAGATCCATGAAATCTGTAGAATTCTTCATAGAATACTAGGCTTAAGATCACAAATTTCAATCCAAATTGCCCTCAGTGGATGAAACACCTGAAACACTGATAAGACTTCTATTTTTATTTATCTTAGGGTAATATAAGCATGATGTAAGGTTATAATTGCAGAAATATTTTATTTGAAGGATTTTTACACAATTTATTTAGTAATCAAAATATTAAGTTTGTATAGTGTGTTATTTTCTGAGTGTATTAGTAAAATGTGCAAAAGATGGCATTGATTAATTCAGATTAGCGGTATTTTGTATTCACTAATTTTGTGACGTGTTCAGAGCTTACTGCTATGCAAAGAAAATAGAGTAATATTGATTTGACAAATTGAAATTGCTTCAAAGTTCAATTTAATTAGGTAATTAATTTTATTCATAAATGTTTTAAACAGAATTTGTTTGGTGTTTAAAACAGAAACGGTTTGTACATAAATCGTTTTTGTTGTGAGGGATTTGCATGAGTTGAAAGGATTTTATTTCACATGTAAAAGACCCCTGGAAAAGAAGGCAAAATGTTTGTTACTTGTATTATTAAGGCCATAGTAACCCTAAGCATAGTCAGACAGACACTTTTAGAAAATTGGATGTGACAATGGAACAATCTTTGCCAGCAACATTGAAGTTGATATTCCATCCTGTATTGAAAAGTTTCTATTATTCTTAAGTTGTGTGTGATAATGTATTTTTTACTTCTTTCCGTCCAGTTTTATAATGTAAAACAAAAATTTCATCTTTTTCACAGATGACTTTTGATATAAATATATAAAAAATGTAGATTTGTTTTATACAATTAAGAGAAAGTATTTTTATACAGAAGTGATGTTACCTGCTATAGTGTTTAATGCACATATTCTCCGTCCTTTCTAGGTAGCTAAATCAAGTATTTATACATCATTGTTTATATTTTGAATGATACTCTTTGTATGAAATTTGTCCTTGGAAAACCATTAATTTTCCAACATTTTTATTCTTTCTATGAAATTGTATTGTTCACAATAAACTGTGAATTTTAATTTGTTAAATGAGGCAGTTTTTCAATTTTATTGAAATTAGCAATCGTTTTAAGGCTCAATGTTATTCTACTCAGTGTGAACAAATGATAAGTTTTTGGTCATTGGTGTAAAATCACATAGATTTGAGATCTTTAAGAAAGATTTTTATAATCATTACATAAAAAATAACTGAATAGATATATGTTTATTTCAATTGCAGTGAAATCTGTTGAATCCCAATTAAACGCTTACCTCTATTAACATCAATTTTTTCATGAAATGAATTGATTTTCCCATTGGAACATTTAATTATTCCCTTTTTTAAGTATAATGTAACCTGTATTCAATGATAAAAATTTCTTAATGAATTTACAATTTTCATATGTTATGCTATAAGAAAAGTAATACTGGCAGAGTTTACTTCAGATTCAGTACCTTCCTACATTGGAATTAATCGATAGAGTAATAAGGTTTGATATCTAGAGTTGCTTTTTACGTAGGTGTTATTAATTTCGATTTAACATATCAATAAATGATTTTCATACATGCTTTGAGGTTTCCTATTGGTGTATATCAGCTTCAAATCAGATGAGAATCAAATCCACAATAGAAGAGAGACCACCAGCCACTAGAAAAGAAAGTAATGTAAATGTCTGTAATTTAAATGTTTTGTTGCTTAAGTGCCCTGGTGCAAACATGCTTCCAGTATTTTGCACATTTAAATGTAATTAAAAATGTGATAAGGAAGAAAGCGTACTTCACTTCCTTGGAAACAAAATTACACTAATCTATAATCTCATTACCACAATTTTACCAACAGCAATTTTTCTTTGCAACCATCAGTAGCACAGGTTTCACTGGAATTAACTAAAGTACTCATTTTATTTTTGCATTTTCTTCCTTACAGAAGATGTCTTATTATGTAATTGAAACTCATCTTAATACTGACCAAAGATTTGTTGCTTTGCTTTCAAACAATTTTATGAATCTTCTGTTGAGTTTTTAAATTACTTTAAAAATAATTGTTGCTACATTCCATTTTGATTCTAATGATCATTTTGTTAATAATTGTCATTTTGTTTCTCTTTTCGAGATTGATATAATCTGTTAATATGTGTTAATTTGGTATGTGTGCAAAGTAATGTGTAGAATGTAATTTGTGCACTACCATGCCATTCATGAAACATTTTGTTTGCAATGATCATCTTTCAGAAGCTTACTGAAATAGCATATTCCTGGGGCGGCACATCACTTGTTAGTACTGCGCAACTTGACTTTTACTTTATCTTGGAAGGAGAGGTATGGTGAGTGACATTGTATAAACACAAGTTTATATAAGTGCTATTTGTTCATACAAGAGCCTAAGTAGAGAGAGAGGAGGGATCAGAGAAGTTGGGCTATTGTGATCAGTGGCTTCTATCCTGCTGCCCAGGAATGCCATCTCCTCAGGTAGACTTGCAGTTCATTGCAAAAGATGGTGTTTTCATGTCATATGTGTATGTGCCCTCACTGCTGTTAAAAATGGAGAAAACCCAACCAGCCAAGCTTTTTGCTTATATAATTTCGTGTGTGCATTTTGGAAGGGAAGGTGCAGCTGGGTGACCACTGAATGATGTTCAAAGAGTTAACAGTTAAAAGGAAAGCATCAGAGGGAAATTGTTGAGGTAAAAAGTCTTCTTGAACGGGTGGTATTGTAATCTTCAATTTCTGTCTTCTGATGAAGAATGTTGTATGAAATAGTTGTTAGCATATAACTGCTCGTCAATGTGAGACATCAAATGAAATGCTTCATAAGGTATTGTTGAGTGCACCTAAGGTTTGGTGGTAAAGCTAAACCTGTTGAGTGGTAAAAACTACTCCACCACAGCTGAAATTTTGATTGAGAGCTGTCCTTCCATAACTATTGACTGCTTCTATTTGTGGGTAGAAGGTTCCCCTAAGTCCCAAAACATCTGCTCCACGCGCAGAGCGGATCTGCTGCACCAGAAGCTGTTATGCACATGTGCTATTCACTAAAACTCTCCAAAATCGTTCACTGAAAGGAAACGTATAAATTGGATCTTAAAGTTGTTTATTATGTGCAGATGCTATGTTCATGTTATGGCATTGTAGTGGAACTGACTGTTTATGATTAAAGATGTAGCACATTACTATTTCATTGCAAAATCAATCAATCTTTTTTTTTTTTGTGCATGTCTTAATACATCTGAAGTCACGCCGAAAGTTGACAGCTATTTTTAAGGAGAGAAATTAATTGGTTTGAATTGTATAACTTTTTGAAAATTTCAATGTGAATGTATTTCTTCAATGGGAATAAATTGTGAGATTATTGTTTCTTCTGTATTCTTTGCCTCTTAATTCAAACTTTCATTTAGAAAATACGTTATTTCTAAATTTGATGAATCTAATGCATGCCTACATATTTCTTGTTATTTTTTAAATTATCATGTTTATTTGAAACTGGTGAAATTTGTAAGGAGAATTGCAGTAACCTTGATCCACAGGTGTAAGCTAGTAATCTAGTTGGGTGAAATAAAAGTATTACAATTCAATTCTAACATGTTTATTGTTACAATACAAAAAATAGTATTAAGCTCTAAACTTCTTAAATAATGGATGTTTCACACCACTGTGTGCAGACTTTCTGTACTCCAAATACACAGCATCATCAGCTCCAGATAAAGAACTCATGTGTCCAACTCTCCGATGTACCTTGAACACAAAATGTTTCAGATCAATAATTGTACATCTTACATTTCACATCAGTACACTTTCTGACAACTTTTAGCATGCACATTTCATTCCATTTAACACAATATTAACTTGGTTTATTTTTCTTTCTGATCTTTAAAATTACCAACATATGTAATTTGCCTTTTAACAGTTGCATATTAACAAGGGGATTCCAAGAATAGGCCCCAGGGTAGTTTGTTCTGTTTCTTTCTTTCCTTTCCTTTTTGACTTTGTTCAGATAAGGCTTTTCATTATTAAAAACTTTCTTAACCCTGCAGAAACGTTGGAATTCTCCAACTGGTTCTTTTGTTTTATAGAAGGCAGAAGACTTAAAAGTAACTTTTCCAAAGTAAAATTCTACGCTTACTCTAACTTTAGATAGGATCACTAATTTAAAGTTCACATTTTAGAAGCATGAATTACCATAGTTCACATACCTTTTAGGGACAGTTAATTTAGTATATACTACAGAGCTTTTAAGATGATGACGAGCATGCTCTATGAATGCAATTTGTAAAACTCTCACCATAGGTCCAGAACGAGGTCCTTCACCTGGAATGCGTTCTTCATCCGCATCCATGTCACTCGCTGCCAACACTTGCTGTAGGAGCTGAGCTTGCTCCTCTCGAGTTTTATATTGCAAATCAGGCTCCTGGTCAGAAAATCACATTTCATTGACACAAATGTTACAGTCAGTTTTTAAAACCTCGTAATACCACTGCAAAAAATGTTTAAAAGGTGTCTTAGAATTTTGTCCACTTGCTTCTTTTATTAGTTCTTTTAATATAAGTTTATTTCAACATATGGGATTTAGTCTGCCTTTAAACTTGTCATAGTGAGTTGCCTAAAATAATATACTACAGAGAAATAATTATTTTGTGCCATTTAAATTATAGATACTGCTGACGTTTATGAATATACATGATGCATTGAGCTAAAATTTGGCTACTCCCATTCCTTTCCACAGAGTGATCACTGCCTTTGTTGGTTACCTTGCTTAAAGTGATGACATGTTTCATTAAAATTTCCATCTGATAGTATTCTTAAAATATTTTTAAAAAACTGTAAAATTAGCTAATTAAACAATATTTCTTACAGGGTATAAGAACAGTCATTTCTTCATCATTATCATAAAGCTAAATCTGCAATAACTATTTTCTTTTTAAAAATATTTTTGGTTGTCTTCAATTAATTTTTTTCTTCCATAAGAAAACTTGTATTTTATTTTCTATAATTGCAACAATTTCAGCACATTAATGCACAAGTGGACTAAGCACTTGCTTAGGACCCTCCATTATTTTTCCAACATTTTATATTTTAATACATTTTGTACTTTTTTATGTATAAAAATATCCTTGCATTAAAATCTAAAATTTCAAAGATAATAGTTTATTTTCATATTAATTTTGATTACAGATATTCATTATTATGAAAGACTTCCCCATAATTTGATTATGCTTAAGATCCCTCAAAACTTTTATATAACTTTTAGTCCAGGGATTCTCAATCTTTTGCTTGTGTCAACGCCTTTTAAAAGAATTGTATGCTTTCATAAACTCCTCGTCTTTTTCACTTCAAATTCAAGGAAAAAATACCTGAAAATTCACATGATAATCAGCAGAAGATATAATCATACAATGCACAAAAATGACTTGCAACAATTCTGCATACCAGTAGTTTTATAAGTATCTCAATTTCCAATAATAGGAGACTCTGCTTCTGAAAAGCTTGGTTTCTAATGTTCATTCTTGTGCAAAATACTGCCTACCTTGAGCGGTTTTTAATAACGGCAATTACATTTCCACGGAGTTGGAAAAAAAAAAAAAAAATAAATAAAAAAAAATAAAAAAAAAAATCGTAATTTCTTCAGTTTTCTAAACGTCCTAACATAGAACTATGAATATGAAGGAAGAGCAAATTTGTAATGTGTATCCTTGCTCTGCCTTGTAGCACAATAAGGTTTTCGATCAAATGTATAATAATATAGTACGCAAATATTTTATTGTGATTTATATAAACAATGAAAAATAACTACTGAATTTTAGTTACTCCATAACTTTATCCCAGAAATCAATTATCAAATTCATTAAATTTTTGTAATCAATGCAATGTTTATCTTGATTCCCCTGTTCAGTCGCCTGTTTGTATTTGGCTATTGCCTCCCAGTCGCCTCCTTAATCTTCACTGATCCCCAAAGGGTCCCTGCTTTAGTCACTTGACAAATAAACGAAACTGCTACAAACAAAAAGTTCAGTAGAATAAATGCAGCGTGAATGTAGATATAGAAGAGTGATATGAGCCAAAAACAAGCTTACCTCCTCCATTCCAGCCAACTTAGTGATCACCTTGTAACTATAACCCTGATTTACAAGGAATCTCTGTCTCTTCCTTGAATAGCTCATTTCCATAGTGTCTTGTGAAACCAGTGTGTAGAAGAAAGCATTGTATTCTTCAGCAATAGCACCTGAATAAAAAAAACTGCTTCATGCAAATATAATCTGTTTTACCACATTAATATGCAGAGTGCAAATTCATTAAGATACCATGAATCTTTCTCCCTAAAGTGGTATATCCCCGTTGGAAGAGCTGGCTACGAACAAATAATCTATTTCTAGGTTTTGAACATCCCCAGGAGAGGCTAATTTGCACCTTGCTAATATGCAAGCCCAGAACTTGTTGCCCTTCGAGTGTGCCATGGACATTCTTATCTTGGGTGATTGTAAAATTAATTCAAACTGCTGCTAAAAATATTTTATATTTCAAAGTTTGGCAACTTTGGATATGATCAAATAGTCTACAATTACTGTGACAACCAAATAAGAACAAATTTTGAAAGGTCTTTCAATCATGTTTGAAAATGTTTGTGCTTGTCTCTAATTGTATTTATTTACAATTAAACTATTCTGTTCAGACCCTCAAAATTTACATGTTGATGTTTAGTAGAGGCTCCCCTTTTTACCAACATAATTACAATGTCTATTTGCAGATTCTCTTAATACTGTGATTCATTACCCAGAATCTGAACTGTTCACCTCCATTAATATTCTTAGCACAACTGACTGGTATTACTCACGCAACATTTCTTGAACAATGGATTGAAGAAATGCAGGTAGAATGGGGGTATTATTTATGAAATTGGCTACAAGATTTTATCAAGCAATGCTAATCTCTGAAGAATCAGTCATGCCTACGCAACGTTCTCAATAATTTGCATTCTAACTTTCTCAGGGGTTCGAGATATCGCCTGTTATAGATCTTTACCTGCTTCGGTCATTTGTTTAGATTTTTTGGAGAAAATTACGGATAGAAATTCTCGCCTTAAAAAACAAATTGTCTCTATTTAGCGTCAGAAAAGGTGTGTTTGGAATGCTGTTATCAGTGCTTACTGCAAACTTTTGCCTTCAACATTTGTGCCAGAGACGGGGAAGCAAGATCATCATTCAAGAAAAGTTGCCCGAGCAATACGATTTTTTGGAGCATGGTATTTTTTCTAACACGCCTACCCTTTTTAGCTCGTAAGATTCGTCCCAGACGCTGAGCTTCTTGACGTCTTGAGCCTCCATGTGATGAAATTTGGATAAGAACATTAGCTTCTGGTAAATCAAATGATGTGTCTGCAACTTTACTTACAAAGATAGTATTTACTTTGGGATTGAATTTGAAGTTCTGAAGAATCTGAATACGTTCACTTTGTGATGTGGGACCATAAATGTATGGTTTATTCATTTTTATTGCATAATGTTTCAAAGCAAAAACATTATCAGAGAAAACAATTATTTTATCACCTCTTCTCTCGTGATATCGTATGAGATATTGTGTACACCGAAATTTTTGAGGATTCATTACATACAGCAACTATGAACAAAAATTGAATTTCAATTATTTCACTGAAAAATGTCCCACACATATATATCAAAAATCATAAACAAAAGAAAAAATCATTAAATTTCTTACCAATTTTTTACTGGTCTTACAATTGAGATATTCACGATAAAATTCGGGGGTCATTGGGCACCAAACTTCAGCACACTGTACCCGAGCAATAAAACCTCTTTTCTGAAGTTCCAACCAGTTAGCTTCATAAAGCTTGGGACCAATTAGAAAATTCAGATCAGCTATCTTATCATCTTCACGCAACAATGTTGCAGTTAATCCAAGTTTGCAGTGAGACTGCACAATTGTTAATACACGCCGGAACATCTTTGCAGGAATTGTGTGTACCTCTGTAAATGTGTTTATAGTGATAATGAAATGCACACAAAGAATAATAGAAGTATTTACATAGATAAAAAATTAATTCTCACCATCAAGAACCATAATACCCCACTCCTGCTCCTGGAGCCACTTCATAGTTTGCTCTGCTTCCCAAGATCGTTTCTGTGTGTGTGTAATCATTGAATATGTAGTCACAAGTATGCCACAACCCATTGGTTTATCTTTGGCTTCAGAAGTGAATCTACAAATCATGCTATCATCAGCTAGAAATGAAAAAGGCCAACAATGAAAAGAGGTGCTTAAATATACCAATCTGTTGCAAACACCACAGCTTCATACTATATAATATCTATGCTATCAAAAAAAAGCTCTAAATATTCTTTGCACAATTAACATTAGATTCTATACAATTCGTATAATTACTGAAAGGTAAAAATAGAAAAGGCTTCAGTCATGATGTGCTATGGATCACTCCATGCACACAGACCAATCACACATTAAGAACATTATTGTACATTGAGAGATAAATAGTTTTATGCACTGTTAAGCATTAGAATTAAAAACTAACTTCCTAGGAAAGGCTTTGAGTCAGATGTATTTAATACCTGTTGACCACATTTTGAATTGCTGTTTCCACTGTTCAACAGACACACCAGAATTGCATAAAACTAAGGCTCTTTTCCGTACTGTACAGCAAGCAGTGACGCCAACCAAACTTTTTCCAGCTCCTGGAACCATGAAAAAAAGGAAATGCAAATAGTAATTGTACAGAGAAGTGAAATTCAAGACAAATACAGTACCACCTTCCGTATTTATCCATAATATGGAAGAATTTCTAGGTAATAGAACACTTCAAATGAGGGGGAGGGGAGGGGGTAATATAATGTGAAATGCACAATTTGGATATTACACTGATTTGAAGGAGAATTTTCACACCATAAAAATTATCAATATTTTCTTAAATATTATATCTCAAAGAGAAATTAATAATATTTTAAAATCATAACTTACCACAAGGTAGAACAATAACTCCTGATCGAGCACGACCATTCCCAAACATCTTCCTTAAACTCTTTTCTTGATAGGGTCGAAGCACCGCTGAAGGTTTTAAATCAATGCTGCAACACACAATATATTTCTATTACGAAAATATATTACGCAATGAAACCGGAAATATTCTCAGAGAAATCTCTTAAGTACTTACTTGATATCTGGATTTACAGTGTCATTTCTGAAATCATACTCAGCTAATAAAGGATGCTCCAATTCTATACATCTCTTCTGAATGATTTCAATTTTTTCCTGAAAAGTTTTAAGATTTCTAATTTAGCAGTAGTAAAACTTGCTTCAAAATAGACCTTGAATGTAGGAATTCTGGAAAGAAAGCGCAACAAGTCTACAAATACGACTAGTTAGGCAGTGAAACTAAATGTTTTCTTCAGGAAAGATTCTTAAAGTATGTGAAGAATTAACAATGCATGCTAAACTTCATGAATTAATGTTTATTGATGACAAAATCCTTTTTGGAATGTGTGAAATGCACCATAAAAATGTTACTTTGAAAACCTAATTTTTTTCCTAAGTTTTGCAATTGTATATATTCTTTTCAAATAAGAAGCAAAATTGTCTAATGCTGTAGCACTTTTTGTTTCTCATCATCAGTAATAGTGTTATTATCACTGTTAATAACAACTTACTTGATTGACTTCAAATGAGACAGTCTTCAAAACAGCTTCTTCTTCATCATCTTCATCTTCTTTATCTATCTTGTCATAAAAATTAGTAATGTCTTCTGGTACTGCCGGCTGCTGGTTGTCCTGGCCCTCAGCAGTCCCATTTGTTGCTCCCGGAGCTGTTGCACTCTGCGCATTAGCACTTGAACTTGCCTTACTACCAAACTGAAAATAAAATTACCAATAGCATCACAGATAATCAATTTCAAATCAGACTGTTTTCTTACATCACAAATGATGACAGAGATAAAAATGTACTGTGATCTAAATATAAAATTTGAGTTAAAAGTTTATAGGACTATTTTCTCCAAATGTATTGAATATCACACAGAAAAAATGATCACCTGAGGAATGCCTTTCTTGTCCTGAACTTGTGTAATCAATTCATCAGCATTTTCTGTACCTTCTTCAGTTCTGCGAAGCCTACATTCCTGTATGACAGGATCTTTTAATAACTTTTGCAGAACTTCTGGGTGTGGTGATTCAACAAAATAACGATTATGCTTTAATACAAGTTTAACCTGCACATAGAAAAAACATAAATAACATTAAACTAAATTAACAATTATTTCTAAAAAATATTAAATACATAAGAGATTACAAATGCACATATCATTTCTTTAAAGAGGGGACCTAAGATGTAAGCTGATTTTTTGGATCCTTTCAACAAAGCAACCATTTTTTACCTCTTGATTTTATAGATAAGAACATTACCTTTCCATAAGACAGAGTGCATAGTTGAATAAATTCTATGATTCCATCAGGAATGGTGGTTTTACTAAGGCGTTTCAAATACTCAACAATGTCATGTGTTTGGAGACCAACACTCACTGCAGCATAAAGTGAATAAGCAGTAAGCTTGTACTGAAAATAAATGAATTATTAGTACATATGTATGATACTGGAATTGCAAAGAAAACAAATCAAATATTGAAACTTACTTCATGGATGAACTCTGGTCTACACACTGGTTCTGATATGGCTATAAGAAAGTCATGAGCATGTTTGTACACAGGAGAAAACGACTCCAAAAAAATATGGCCATTTGGTGCCTAAAACAAAACACATTTTCAAAAACATGAACCTAACTGTGTTTTCAAATTTACAAATGGATTTAACATTGTTTACTGAAAGATAAAATGACGACAAAAAGAAAAAAAGGTTTCACTTTCACCACTTTCATTAATGAAAGCATAAAATTAGGTTTGCAAGATAACACTTATTCAACCATATCACATTACCATTAGAAATTTCATTTGAAATACTTTCAAAATATAAGCTGGAGCAAAATAACCAAGTAAAAAGGCAATCCTCATACTACCAATAATTATCTTAACAATAAACATTTTATTCATTAAAAATACCAGTTACTTTTATAAAAATACCAGTTAAGTTTAGTAGTACAATCCCCCTAGGTGGTTCTCTAAAGTTTTTTGTACTGTGGTTTTTTAACATTACCACATGAAACAGTGTTTTTAGAATCATACAGTTCACAATCCTGAGCAAATGCACCACTATTCCCCTTTGCAGAAGCACCAAAGTTACATAAATTACATAAAATTGATAACACATCACGTGACTAGGGTTGGAAAAATCATAATAAAAAAAATAAAAAAATAAATCAGATTTGTTTGATTTGATTTTGTTAAAAACAACTGAATTTATTGAAAAACTTATAACAATGTTAGACAGTTATTGAAAAATTACATTCTACTTAACAGTTGTCTTGTTATAAAAAAATAAGGGGTATAATGACTTACTTGCGCACATTCTTATTAATCCTTTAACAGTCAGTGGGCAGTATGCTTCCCATTTTAAACAGAATTTTATCAATATACACATGAAGAAAAAGGTTAGCATTATTTAGACTAGTTTTAACTACTGCTTTTAAAAGTTAAATAATTTTGTTCTTTAAGTGAGTATTAATAAAATTCCATTTTTATTAATACTTATTTTTATGATTGATTTTAAGTGGTTTTTGCAAACATTTTAATACAAATCTAGAATTGTGGACACCACAATTTTTAATGCTTGAATGTCTATAAACAAGCTCGGTTGGGGTTAGGACAGTATTGAGGCTAAATTAAATTTTATCTTCAGACAATTAAATGCTGGGTAAGAACTAATAGATCATCTAAGTCTATCAGTATATAACTCTACTACAAAATGTTTTTTGTTCTTCTTTTCATAAGTTTGTTTATTTTATTGTATTTGATTGTCTCAAAATTGTTCAATTATATGAAAAAGTTTATAAGAAATACATTATATACTTAACATCAACTTTGTGATTAATTTAAGACATTGTTATCTGAGTAATTTTTATATTTTCAAATATAACAAATATTAAAAATTGATTTAAAAAAAAATCTTTTGATTTAAATCATACCACTCTTACACTTGACCTACTTTTAACTATAGATAATTAGTTGTGTTGTCTCTTATCTTGGAGTATAGCAAATTGTATTTTGAACATGTTGGCTTTCTTATGTAATAATAAATCAAGTTAACTTGTTCCCTGTCCCCATGAAAACATTAAAATCCAAACATTCCTGATTGTCAGAAAATTTTACTGTAATATTCTCAAAAATAAAAATGCTTTTCTCCATGTTCCGGTGTATTTCTAAGTTCTACGACCGACCTAGCAAATCCATGCCAAAATCTGAGTAGTTCCAGAGAGTTCCATGGAAATATAAATTGGAGAAGTTATTAACGTCTGAGACCCACATGTGGTTCATGGATGTAGTAAAATGATCAAGTGTTATGTTTTGTGAACCACATATGGAACACAGAACAGTGAACGTGTTAACCAATTGCACTACATGTATATTTATCTTGTATATTATTGTATATTTGTAGCCTTGAAGGCCAAATTAATGGTCAAAATATTGGCACTGAAAAGAAACACTATACTATCTCCTGTTGAGTAATACTAGGATAAATAATGAACTGAAAACAAAATTCCTTTAGGAAATTATTCAAACAAACCCAAATAAAGCTGTTAACTCAAACTGAGCAAACTTATCTCTGCCAACACAATTTAAATAAAAAATCGAATGTGGTGAACCACACAAACACTATTTTGCAAATGTTTCCCCAATGCTTAAATATGAAAAAAGTGGGTAAACTTTGGGTCAAGCGTGTGTAATTAATGATAACAATCCATTCCCAGGGATTGTAGTAGGACACAGTCTGGAGCAGTCTCTACAAACAGTAAGAAATAAAACACACCCGTCATAATTGCAAATAAAATTTTCAATCATTTGCTTTAATTGTATATGTGGCCCAAGTATTTGAAGAAAAGCTTCAAGGTAAATTTCTTTCTGAATTCAATGAAATTCAGAACTCACCACCCACAAGGGTCTTGAAGCGTGGTCTAATTTTAAGTTCATTTGAGATCGATAATCTTTGGCTCCATACTCATCTTCAAGAGCAGCTTGCTCTTCTTCTACATTCTTTTTAGCAGCATCAGGAACTCCTTCTGTGAAAAGTACACAACCACTTGAAACTGAACAGTCAATTGAAACGGCAATGCAATAATGTTCAAATACCAAACCAAAGGGGAAATTTGAAGGAATTGCGGAAGCACTTTAAGAAAGCAAACTCAGAATACAATCAACAAGAAACAAACATAACCTGCTTCTCCAATATCTCCATCGTCTTCATATGCATACTCATCATCATCCCTTTTTCGTTTTTTCCATTTCTTGGAGTTTTCTGAAAACATGGCTATAAATTAACAAAATACTCGTTTGTGCAAAAAAATGCATTAGATTTTTTCTTAACTGTCACAATAACATACCGTCTTTCTTGTATTTTTTGGGTCCTCCCATTTTAATAATTTCACTTGTAGATGACAATAAGTGTTTTCATTAGAAAATTCACTTCGAGATTGTTCACCAAGTCAATGTTTTTTTATAATCCCAATGAATAACAAAAAGCAGGTTAAAACGACCACCATCCCCTAGGTCAATATGTGATCAGCCTAATGAAATTCATGAATGATTGAGACACGCTTTCATTTAGAACAGTTATGCAATATTTGAAGTAACTGACGTAATTGTGAGTTAATAAAATAACCTTTTATATTCACACTGTCTGAAAACTTCATCACAGTATTAAAATAACACACTTTTGAGGCTTTTGCACTTGTGCAATGTGTCCAATCGTCTGTTTACGGCACGGCCCATATACTCTTTGGCACGGCCAGTTAATGACGTTTGACAGAATGCTTCAGGCCGCCTGGTCGCCACAGCGCTGTTGCTGCCGATGCAACGGAACGCGGTACTGGAACCAGAGAGTATAAAGAGATATAGAAGGAATAGTCTCATAAATACTTCATATACTATTTATATTTAAAGAGGTAAGTTAACAATTTGTGGCAGTTGTTTTTCTTTACACACATGCAGAGAACCGATGCAGAGCCAACGAAGCAAAGGCCACGCGATCAAGCGTCGAGCGATTGTTTGTGTTTATGATACTCTCTATACCCTTCCTCTGTAACTAACAATCTGATCGTTTGCAACTGTATTATAGCAACAGCGACAACCAGTTGATGGGTGTAAGATTTGCACAAAGCCAGGTGGTTTCCTGGCATGGTGTGAACTGTCAGGCTAAGGTATTATATTAGCCTTTTAGCAGAGCGATTTGTGTAAACCAGAGCAGTGTTATATCCCGAGAGCATTGGATAATTACAGTAATAAAAATATGCATAAATGAAATAATAGATTTCAGCATGCTTTCGAAAATCCAGACTCATCATCTTCAATTCATTTACTGTGTCGGCCTGAACGCAGATTGCTTGCAACTTTAAGTTGAATTCATAAAATAAGTTTATTTCTATTTGTGTGAAGTTCTCAACCAAGATAAATTCTCAGATGAATCTTTGCCATTCGTGTCCCTTTGGCAAAGGCAGAAATAATACGCTATTTTTTGTTTGAAGAAGTGGGATGAAATATAAATATATGGTCATTAACACCATATTTCCCGTATGTCATGCACTGAACGCTTTTTCTTTTCCCAATAATTCATGTATGTTGTATTCAGGTTGTCTTTCATGATAATCTATCTGTTTACAATACTATGAATTTTAATAAAACTGCACTTTTGTTGTAGGGAGGAATAAGTAATAATCGTAAATAATTGTCTTCTTTGAACAAATTTTTTTGAACTGCATGGGAAAGTGACCACCTTTTATCCTGCTACTCAATTAGATTGCTTTTTGGTATGCCCCTGGAAGACCTTGAGAATGCCAAGAAAGAGAACAAAGCGCACAAGGTGAGGTATAGAAAATGTCAGGCATATTATTGTGATCTTAATGTGTACCAAAATAATGTTAATTTCCTTCTTCTGCAGGAAATCAATCTCAAATGAGGAAGATGAAACCATTTCTGCACAAAATGCAAAAGAACAACTCAATGGAGAGGTATGTACAAAGCTCTTTTAAGAAGTTTGTTTTATGAGTCTCTGTGTCCCTTTATGGAATAACCTTATTTTGTTTTTAATCAATGTAATTAGAGGTTATTTTGAGCCCTGAAAATTTAATGTGAAAGAAATTATTTTTATTCTTATGACCAATAGGAAGAAGCATATAAAGAAGACAGTGAAAATATCAGCATGTTGGGGCATTACATAACCAAGGAATATGAACTTCTTCGATTGGTATTAAGCTATTTGCCACTACGATATTTGAATGCTGCAGCACAAGTTTGCAAGTATGTTAACATTTCAGTTTTCATCTTGAAATAATATTCTATGCATGTATGTATTTTCTATTAGCTTTTGCATATCTATTTAAACTTTTTCTGAGAGACATCGTTTACATGTGAGTTAGGAAATATAACTGGGATCGGTTTTATTTATAGCCCTCGTAAAGCTTTCTTCTAGGAGCGTGTTCAAATTTGCATTTTTATCTTGAAGTTAAAAAAATTGTAAAGTGGGTGGATGCACACCTTTCTTGCTGTCAGTGAGTGTATGTTCAGAAAAGAAAACCTGTATGAAAAGCTATTTTAAAAATTAGGTGTAATTATGTAGCCTTATTATTGCATTCCCTATTCCTGAAACTAATTTTACCAGCTCAAATTCAGATATGTTTTCATTCTGAGTTCACAATGGAAAAAAAAGAGAGTCCACATCAGGGCCAGATTAATATCTTAAAGGGTTGTGAGTATAACCAAACAGTGAGAATTCATCAAACATACACACTAAGTATTCGAAGAAGTGTGAAAATAAAACTAGTATAACTTGTGCAATTTGAAGAATTGTTACTGGAATAAGTACAATATGTATTGCTTACAAATACAATTTAAAATAATGTTTGTCTAAATTCTAGTGCTGTTATTTTATTGTGCCTAATGTTGGATTTAAAATGTGAATAAATTTTAAAAAATCTTTGAATTACATTAATAACCATGCCAATCTGCAGATGCTTTTCACATTCACTGACAAAATTAGGAGTGAAGCACCCAAGTATTGGTTCTTTCATCCTACAAATGTCTTTTGAGCTGTAGGGCACAATGGTAGTAAATAGATTTCAAGCGCGAAGGGAGTATAATTACTTTTACATGTACATGAAAATATATAAAATTTTGTTTAAAACAGTATTGGGAGACCCCCCAATCCAGCTTGAGGGCTTAAGATTGTCACAGGCAAACCATTCCAGACTCTAATTGTTCGGTTCGCAAATTAATATTTCCCAACATTCATTTTCTGAATTCTTGTCTGAATTTTGTTCTTGTTATCCACTATGCTGAAATATGTAGGTTTCCCTAATAGTAGGTGTCTTTCCATGCTGGAAAGCCTATGTATGCTTCATATATAATAAAGAATGACTTTATTCTCCTTCTTTTGAGTGACTCTCATACTCTTTTATTCTTGGCAGTTCAGAAAGTAAATTTTGATGATTAATTAATAATATTTTATTAATAATATATTAATTTAATAGCTGGTGAGGTAGATACCTTCTAATAATTAAATATGGTAAATTAAAGGTCTTGTCTGGTATTAAAAATTTATTTTGCTAACGATCGTTTCAATCGCATTACGATCATCCTCAGAGCTTGCAGCAGAACTTTGTTTTCAGCCAGAAGCTGCAAGTTCTGAGGATGATTGCTACACGATCAAAACGATCATTAGCAAAATAAATTTTTGATATCAGACAACACCTTTAATTTATCATATTTAAATTTTGATGATCTACGTTGGTCCTTTTCTAGATTCCCTTATTGCAAAATTATATATGAATCACAACCTATTGCACCATTTTATAATATGGTCTGCACTAATGACATGTATGCTAGTTCTTTGGTTCTCGCTGTACACTTTTTCAGAATTATTGGATTTTGGTTCTATTATTTTGTGTTCAGATTTGTGTAACTTATTTTCTAATAGCTAAAACTGTTTTAAACATATCTTAAATTAATATTTTGAGTTTATTTTGTAAACTTTTTCTGTTAATATTTTTTATACTTGGGCCCAATGCAAATTATTTCAAATTGTTTAGTTAAGTCTTTTCTTATTTTGAGTGTTTTCATGATATTGATGAAGTTCTCCTTTCCTTAACATTTACAAAATTATATTGAAAATAATGTATTTAAGTATTGTAATGTTATTTGATTGCTTCCTCTAAGTTGAAAATGTGCTAAGACAAAATTTTTTGAAAGAACCATCATCTTCCATTTTGGACCTATTTTGCTGTTTATCCACCCAGGTCACAGCATTATTAAAAAGTACTTAAGGACATTAATAAAGAAAACTTGATGACATTTTAAGGACATTGGAGTACGTGATGAAGTATAATATTGTGTTTATCTTTTTGTGCAGAACTTGGCAGTCAGCTGTGGATGTCATCAAGCGTTCTCGTCATGCTCGACCTCAGTGGTTATTCTGGCATAGTCGTCAAAAGGAAATTGGTTCTGAGGAGCTACCTCATCACTTGTTCTCTCGTCATTTCTTTAGTGAGCCTCAGCTGTGCCTTATGTTTATGACACACAAACTTACAACAACTGAGATCAATTGTAGACGTGCTAAAGCACCGTGTCCTTGTGGCAGTGAAGGAAAACATAACTGCAACATGAAGCATCGAAGTAAGTGTGAACATAATATGTTTTTTCCATACCATGGAAAATTACTGGATTGTGGAACTTGAATCATTCATTTGTTCATCTATAATGACTGTAAAAGCCTATGGGCCAAAGATTCACGTGCATGTTTTGTAGCTTTTCTATTCATAGCAGTGATTTCAGTTTGAAGCAAAGTCCTTTTTAGTGGCTATCTAGAAAATATTGAGGGTTCATGATTTTTCTTCCTTTCTACCTCACACTACACAAAACTAACAGAGGCCAGAGGCCTATGAGGATAGTCATTGGTCTACTATTGAGGAAATAACCTGTAATAGAATTCTTATTCTAAATAGCTTTTATGATTTCAATCAACAAGATTTATTGATTTTTAGTCAGATTCTTGGAGAATGTTCTAAAATATTTCTAGAAAAAGTGATATTTGGTGGTTTCAAGAACAGTAGTGAGTTACTTCTGCCTTTCTGGCATAATATGAATCATTGTGACTTGATTCATGATGTTGGCATTAGTTCAACCTAATTTTGTAAATAGGCATATACATTTTTTTTTTAATGTTATCAATACTTCTTCATGTTTTCATGAGGATGGATGAGTTAGGCTACAGGATTGTTTTTAAAATGTCATTTTATTATGAACTTGCATAGCACAAATAAAATGATTAACATGAAAATACATACCAGAGACCACAAATTAGGCTTGTAAAAAATAAATAAGTGTTATTTGGGAAATTTTACATATTTGTCTATGACCAACTTCTCATTGTTGGATCTAGAAGAATTGGTATCCTGCCACCCTCTTCTGCCCCCTAAGTTTACATCCACCAATGATACTTAATTATTAATATGGAGTGAGTAAAATATTAGAAGAGGGCTGAAGAAATAAAGCATATAGCAAGTTTTATGCATTAGGATAAGTATGATATTCCTGAGAGAGAATGATGTGGTGACAAAGCGAAGAGAATGTCAGTCCAGTTCTGACCAGAGAACCAGGTCAGTTGGAAATTCAAGAAAAATGAGACTCCTCAACGTACTCATCAAGTCAGCCTTGTGGCCCAAAGGAGAAACCAAAGACCCACGTATCAGGAAGAGATGGTTTAAGGAATGAGATCACGGAAAGGACTAAACAACAAATATTGTAAAGGATATTGAAGAGTATGAAAAAAAAGATGAGAGAAAGTTTGACTAAAGAATACTAGTGTTGTGGTGGTACAGCATAATACAACTTTCTCATATTATTTGTATATTGTATTTGTATTTGTGCTTGTGTAAAATCGGTAGCAGCTCATGGCTTCATGAACTGGGCGCACTAACAATCCACGCAAGAAAAATCTCACATGCTATAATATTTCTTGACACTTTCCCTATTATGTTAAAAATGAATGTGAAAGAAAAAAGTTGGCTCATCCTTATGCTTGAACTCCTGCTCTTC